TCCCCTGATTCCACTCTCTGCTCCCTTCTGCCTGTGAGTAGGGGTCCATGGTGGGAAAGGACCAGGATCCTCCCCGTTACCTGTCATCACCAGGGACAGGGATCACTGTGCTCTGACCAGCTGTTCCAGCTGTGAGATGCACAGTGTGAGCTCTTGGATTTGATGGAGTCACTTGAGTCATGTGGGGCCCCTCATCCCAGTGTAGAAAGACTCCCTTTACACAGATGGTAGGCATCTTCCTGTAGAGACCTCTGATATCAGATTGTCACAGGGCTCCCATGTGCTGACCATGGGGTCAGCCCAGATGGAGAGTTTGGAGGTGCTCCTGGAAAGGAATCAGACCTGAAGTGGCAAGGGAGCCCTTCTCCTCTCAGTTTCCCCAGTTATCACTCAAGGTCCCTCTGAGACTGGTCACCATCAGCCCACACCCTCAGTGCTCCATGAAGCTACCAAGATGGGGTAGCTTCAGTGGGCTGGAGCAGGATGTCTGAGGGAGGACCTTCCCCTTGTACCTGGTCTCATGGTCCCCAACACAATCCTGGAACAGTATGAAGATATAATACATATATCAACTACAAAATAAAGGGGTGAAGATAAAGGGATCTATATATTTAAAAGGTTTCTACATTTCTCTTGAAGAGTAAAAACTAACTCTAACATGACTGTGTAAAATTGGGTATGTATGTGGTAATATCTAGCACAGCCATATAAACAGCATTCAAAGAGGTATACTTAAAACACCAAAAGAGAAATTAAAATGAAATACTAACAAGATTTTTTAAAGCGAAAAAAAGTAATGAAAGGGAAAAAATAGAAGAAACAATAAAGTGGACAAACAGAAAAAAATAAAGAGAAATAGTAAACTTAACAATCTGTTAGTAATTACATCACATATAAATGACCTGAACAGAGCAATTAAAAGACAGAGGTTGTAAGATTGTTTTAAGGAAAACAACCACAAACAAGACACTACCATATGTAGTCCAGAAAAAGTTCACTTCTAATGTAATATAGCAAATAGGTTAAAGGTAAAAGAACAAACAATGGGGGTGACCCTTGGAAAATCATGCTAAGTGAAATTAGCCAGACAGCAAAGGTCCCATGCTGTGTGATTCCATGTCTATGAATTGCCTTGAATAACCAAATCCCTAGAGACGGGATGTAAGTAGAAGAGAGGTCACCAGGGGCTCTTGGTCAGGGGACATGGGGAGTTGTAGTTTCATGGGTGCAGAACTCCAGTTTGGGATAATGGAAACGCTCTGGAAATGGATCATGGCGATGTTTGCCCAACATGGTAAATTGTTTAATGCTATTGAATTGTACACTTTAATAATCATGAAAATTGTAAATTTTATGTTGTGTATATTTTGGCAGGTTAACAAAGTAGAAAGATTATAAACGTACTATACAAACACTAACCAAAAGAAAATTTAAGTGATTATGTTAGTTTCTCATTGCTGCTGTGACAAATTACCACATTCTGAGTGTTTTAAAACAACACAGATTTATTACCATACCGTTCTGGAGGTCAGAAGTATCAAATCAGGCTCAGTGATAGAAGGCAAGGAATAGGAAGACACGCATCTACTTCATCTTGCTCCAGAACTGGAAATCTGAAATGCAATTGACTTCTATATATTGGTCTTGAATCCAGTGATATAGGAAAATTTCTTTTTACTTTGAGTAATACATCCTTGCCGGGGTCCCGCCCCGACTGAGTCCAGGTTCCTGAGGGATGGACGGCATCGGCGCAATGAGGGGAAAACAAAGGGGACGTGAGACTTGGGTTGGTGTTAGCAAGTCCGACTTTACTGTGCACAAGTGTCATTTATATATTTTTTAGGATTAGTACAGAAATAGTTCTACAAATATTCTCAGAGAGATAAGGAAGTAAAAAACGAGCACAAGAATATTTATTAGCATTCTCTTCTATAGAGCATAAGGTTAATGGTCATCTTCTCCGCAATTAACTAGTGTTTGTTGTCTCTAAGCTAAAAGAGATAGGTACCTAGACACCTGTTGTAATTCATGGTAAAGTTAAATCAAAGAGAGAAGGTCCAGGCCTCTGGACAGGACAGCAGTCCATCTGTTTACATCCTGGGGGAGCCATCTCTGCCTCCCTCAATCATTTACACCATTAGTGTAGATGGTTAATGGGAACAAAAGGCAACTCCAGGGTGTCTTATCCCCAGGGCTATCTGCATTCTCAGCAGGCAGTTAAACATCTTTACATTTTCGCGCCCTTTAGGGGGTGAAAGCATTCCTTTGTCTTTTAGATTGTGGAGCTAACAGTCCCTTAAGTACACTGCTGGAGAAAGTACCATTTTGTTAGTAAAGTAAAGGGCTGAAAAGCTAAGCTAAACTATATATCTTTAAGAATAAAAAACAGAAATAAGTATAGACATAACCTTCCTAGAAAGCATGCATATAATTCAGAAAATATCAGGGGTGTCGGCCGGCCATTCTTCACCGAGGGGCATCCCTGCACCCCTCGGCCCTTCTACTCATCAATTATTTATTATTTATTGCTTTTAGGAGAAAACCTCTATAACATTTTAACAGAAAGCAGAAGGTCAAGAATAATATATAGATACTTCTTAATCATCCAATTAACCAGCAAAGTTAGAAGGACGATGCATATATATAGACAAAGAACTGGAGGGAGAAGGAAACATTAACCAGACAGAGGCCATAAACCTAATTCGACATCCTATCTGGGCAGGATTCCTTTCTGATTGTCTCAAATGGGACTGTGTGCTCCTCCAATAATTAACTGAAAAATATCTTGAAAGTTACCTGCAGGTGGTCACATTCTCTTACTATATCTAATTTTCCCAGGAGGTAGCGCCTCCCAAGCAGCCACCCAAAGGAGTGAAAACTGGAGGTTAAGAAAGGAAAAGGAATGAAGGGCCATTAGAAGCAGCACAGGTTTCAGAACTATGTGAGGGGCTGGCCAGTTATTCTTCACCAAGGGGCGACCCTGCACCCCTCGGCAGCGTTAATTGGCTGGACCCTGTCAAACAGCCGATCAAATGATGTAGCCATGGCTCCCGGCACATCCTTATACTATTTTTGATTTGATTTTCTATGCACACAACTGTGTATTCTCTGAGCAGTATAATATTATTCTTACCAAGTCCAGTGGTTATCACTTTGATTTGTTTTATTTAATTGGTTGGTATCGCCAGCGCCATGCTGAATAGAAGTGGTCATTGGGAACACTTTCATCATTCCCATTCACAGGGGGAAAGGCTGGCAAGAAATTCTTTTTAATCTTCTATTACTATATTTTTTCCATAAGTTCGAGTCCTGACCATTAAAAGTGATGTCTAGCGTTGAGTTTTCAAAAGGCCTTTCTAACTTACAGGAAATTCTCTTATTTCTGATGATTTTTTATTTTAATGTGAATTGCTGGTGTATTTTATCAGAAGCTTGCCTGCATCTGTCAAATGATCCTTTTTTTTTACTTATTATGATAATGAGTTGCATTATATTGAAGGAGTTTTTAAATTTTAAGCTACTCTATCCTTCCAAAAACACCCCCACAAAACCTCAGTGCGGTCATAATGTAATAATTTTTTCTTTTGAGGAAGATTAGCCCTGAGCTAACTCATGCCAGTCCTCCTCTTTTTGCTGAGGAAGACTGGCCCTGAGCTAATGTCCATGCCCATCTTCCTCTACTTGATACGTGGGACGCCTACCACAGCATGGCTTTTGCCAAGTGGTGCCATGTCCGCACCTGGGATCCCAACCGGAGAATCCCGGTTCTTTTTATATTCTTAGGAAAATTTTGTGTAAGTTTGCGGGGTGTGTGAGTGTTTGTCATAGGTGGATAAAGGTTTGGAAGAAAGCACTGATGAAGCCGTCTGAGCTGATACACTAATACATTGAAAATGATTACCACCACAGCATTATCTACACCTGCACCTGCTCACATTGCAGCCAGTTCTCTTTTGTTAGTGAGAAAGTTGAAGGCCTACTGTCTTAACAACATTCAAAAATATGACGCAGTCTGATTAGCTACAACCACCATGCCGTGCATTAGATCCCCAGGACGCGTTAATCCTACAGTTCATAGTTTGTGCCCTTTGACTAATATCTCCCTATTTCCCCTAACCTCCAACCCCTGGTAACCACCATTCTATGCTCTGTTTCTCTCTGACCTTTTTAGATTCCATATAGTTCAATTGTGTGACAATTCTTAATTACAGAATCAATGAATTTAATGTATACATAAATTGATACATATATTTTATTTATTCTTATGTCCATTTAGCAAATTTTACCTTTGAAGATGTCCATTTTATCTACATTTTCCAATATACTGGCATCAAATTGCTTTTAATGTTCTGTTGCTATCTTTTTAAAAGTCTATTGGATTTGTAGGGCTGTCTGAAATTTCATTCCTCATATTAGAAATGTGTGCCTTGTATCTTTTTCTTGGTCATTTTGACTAGGTTTTATAAGTTTGACTAATGTTTTCAAGATGAAACATTTTGGCTTATTGTTTTTTGTTTGTTTGTTTTTCCTTGTTAGTAGCTAGTCTTATTACCATTTTTCTCCTTCTACATTCATTTAGATTCATTTCCCATTATTTTTCTAAACTCTCGATATTAACACCTTAGATCAATGACTTTTAGGCTTTTCTGTTCTAATATAATCATCGATTGCTCTTAATTTTCCAACTTCATAGGTTTGATGTGCAATATTTACATTATCATCTCAGTTAAAACATTCTCTCACTTCTGTTTTGGATTTCTCATTTCACTCATGGACTACAGAAAAGTCTGTTGCTTTCTGTCCAAAATGTGGGGATATCAGTTATCAGACTGCAGAATCAGGTGACTCTCAGAGTCTCAGAACCTCCTGGTGGTGCACGTTAGGATTTAGGGCTGGCTGGAGGTCATTAGCTGGGTGTTCACTGCAGGCAGCTCCTGGTTCTTCTGGGGTCCCTGCAGCCTCCCTCCCCAGAGAGTGGGTCTGGGTCCTTCCTGGGCTAGTGGATGGCCAAGGCCGAGTACACGCTTGGCTCTGCTGGGGGCTCCTCTGACTGGGAGGAAGGAGGCATTGTCTTCCGTCCGAGGGTCAAGTGGTTCAGTTGGGCGTAGATCACATCCTGGGGGGCATCAGATGCAGCAGCCTGGATCAGGGGAGAATCGGGGTATAGGTATGTGGTTGGGGTTGGGGCAGCCTGGCGTCCAGGAGAGGATGGGACCCATCTGTCTGTCCATCTGCCTGTCCTTTACTTCCAGTGCTTCCTCTGACACGGGGGAAGGAGAGGTGGCCACCCCCGTCTGAGTCTTGATCATGAGTGGCTCACTTGGGCATTCCTCATTTCCTGAGGGCCCTGATGGGGGGAGATAGAGGGACAGAAACAGTGTCTCCTGGATCTCAGGGCTGACCTCCTCCAGTCAATTGTCCACACTGTAACAGAGTGAAGTCACTTTCTTAATGGAATCTTCAGGGACATCCTAACCTTGGACATCTGAATGCTTTCTGAGTTCAGATTCTTATCCCAACATGTTATCTCCCACTCACATGGCTGGCGCCACACAGCCCATTTTCCTGAAAAAGCATGTTGCTACCTCAGGACCTTTGCACCTAATGTTTTCTCTTCCCCCACATGCACTCTACCCCCTTTTCTTGCTTTATTTTCCTTAACAGCACCTTGCACTTCACGATGCTACCTGCATATTTGCATGTTGTCTCTCACCCACAAGGTGAGCTAAGGAGTGTGGAGAAAGTTTTTCTCACTGCTGTACCTGCAGCACCTGAATGGAGCTGGGTAAACAGTGAGCTCCCTGTGCACACTGTTGGGTGAATGAATGAAGGGGAGCCTAGGGGACTTGTGGGTGGTTCACTTATTCATGCATCCTCTTGAGACCTGGGGGTCAATCCAACAACCAGAAGTTCAGACAGAGAACGAGGAACCAGGAAAGGGGATCACTTGTGGGTGGCCATGAAGTCACAAAAACCAGGAGGAGTGAAGTCACAGAAGGACGCCCCAGGTGCCTAGAGGAGAGGTCAGTGTGGGACGCTGCTGAGGGCTGGGTGATATGGGGACATGCAAGTGTCCATTGGATGAAGTTTGACAGCAGGAAGGTCCCTGGTGGCCTGGACAGGGCAGGGGTCCCACCTGAGGGTGCAGCTCTACCCCCTCCTCAGGCTGTGTGTTCTTCATGGCAGCATCTGCTGGGGCAGAACAGGGGGTGTGTCTCTTGTCAGGATTCCCTGAGGTCTCTCAGGGCTGAAGGTCACTCTGCTCCCAGGTGGGCTACTGAGGTCCAGGGGTGAGGAGATGGCCAGAGTCACTCAGAGGGAATTTCAGTCCTACTCAACCCACATCCTGGGACCACGCCCCACCCCCCCCAGCATATTCCCCCAGGGCCTACTGAAATCTCTGTGCCCACCCCCAGGGCAGCACCTCCTCTTCTTCGCACAGAGGGTCTCTTCCTGGGCATCAGCAGCTGGGCTGGAGCTTGGGGAGGAGACGGGAGTGTTAGAGACAGACATGGGGCCAAGGGCGAGGTGGGAGTCTGGGGTCATTGTGACGGGAATGACCGGATGTACAGGCCTCTGTCCTTGGGAGCTGGGTCTGCAGCCCCTGCAGGAAGTTGGAGATCAGCCTGTCTCTGGGCTGGCTCAAGACGGACAGAGTCTCAGCCCTGGGAGGTTATGACCACTCACCTTCCACATGTGATTTGGGAGAAAAGAAGGAAAACTTAACAGAGGCTTGTGCATATGTTTCAATATTTTGTGAGATTGAAAGGATGAAAATACCTTAATGTGTATACCTGTGCTGAAATGAAGTGTTTTGTTTTGGATTTTCTGATTTGAGATTCTGGAAAAGTCTTTCTAGGCTGGCCTTCCAATCTTTGGTTTCCCTCTGGCTGGAGCCCTAAGCCCACCTCCTCCTGTGACCCGGGTCACCTTGTTCCCTACTCACCTGATGTCCTGCATTTGCCCTGTTGTCGATGTCGGATGAGGAGGAGAACGAAGAGGAAGAGCAGCAGGACGAAGGCCACCGAGATCCCAATCAGAACATTCTGGTACGGTTTGAGACCTTGGACACCTGTGATGTCATGATTGAGCCACTGCTGCCATTTACTGGAGCACCTAATATGTGCCAGGCATGTGCTGTGGTCTCTGCATTCATCTCCTCCCACTCACAACAATCTCACAACATATGACTGCCATCCCCACCCGCCCATTTCCCAGAGAAGGAAACTGAGGCACAGAGAGGCAAATCATGTGCCTAGGTCACTCAGCCTGAAGTGGCAGAGCTGAGACTCAAACCCAAAGCTGTGAGTTCCCTGTGCTCTCATCAGCTGCCCCCTGGTGGCCGCCAGCTTCTTGTTCCCGGGCTCTTCATCTGTAGGCAAGGCCTGTCCCAGTGTATCATATGCAGCTGAGCATCCTTCCTCATCACCTCCCCGTCCCCCACACACCAAGGATCTGGGGAAGGTGGGCTGCATGAGGTGGACCTTGCATCTCTCCAGGGATCGTCCTCCACTGTGCAGGGCCGTGAAGCCCCGTGGGAAGGTCTGGGCTGGGATGGGAGCTCTACCCTTCCTGAGCTCTGTAATGCCCGGGCCCCTCATTTAACCTAATGTCACCGCAGGCCTGTGAGCAGGATGGGAGCTTTAAACAGGAAGAAGTGAGCCTCAAAGAAGAGAAATGAGTTGCTCAGGGCCCCAGGGCGGGAGCTGCAAAACTGGAAACTGAACTGGTGGAGCTGACTTCCTTCCTTGCTCTTTCCACTCCAGCTGAGCACCCTGAGCTGAAGGGAAAGGACCTGAACACCGTGGACCCTTGTCCAGGTCCTCCCTTCCCTGTAAAATTTCACCATCACTGCTGCTGAAGGGACAGGCCCCCATAAAATCACATGCTGGTGGGCTTCCCTGTTAGGCTGCCTCTCCAAGGAGGTCAGACCCATAGTCAAAACTAACAGGGAGTCTAAGCTCTAGGTCACACTTCTCTCCTTTACACTTGGAAAAACTGAGGCCCAGATAAGGCAAGTACATCCATGTCAGAGTCTCCTGATGTCTTAACACAGCCCTCGCCCCCATGGGCCCACCCACCACCTCCCCACAGAGACCATCTCTTACCCTTCCACTGGCCTGACTCCGTTGTGGAGAATTGATCCTCAGAGCCTCCTGGGGATCAGGATTGGGGGTGAGGGGGGCACTTCTCTCCATTTCACACGGCTGAGCCTCTCCAAGGCTGAGACCCAACATCTCCCTCTGCCGTGACCACCCCACCCACCATCCACCAGCCTCACAGCCCTGGAGCCCTGTGGACCCCCCATCTCTGCCTGACTCCCAGCCCCTGGAGACAAGCTGTGCTGAGAGAGGGACTAGGAGTCAGGTCAGCTGAGTCTCGAGAGACAGGCCTGGAGAAACTGTGAGCTCTCTGGACAGAGGCCCCTGTGACTCACCAGATGTTACCTTGAGCCCTGGGGGTGGGGAGGTGGGGTCCCCTGAGGGTCCTGGGAGAAAGGACAAGAGGAGATGACAGGCTAGAGTTTCCCCCAGACACCCTGTCTCTGCTCACACAATTATTCTTCATCTTCCCTGTGGTCCCCAAGTCTCTCCCTCCACCCACATGGAGGATTCTGATGATGGTGTTGTGGGAAGGGGCAGGCATGGGAGGGCCCGGTTTTCCTCCTATACTTTGAGGGACAGATCCCGCTCTGGATGACCCTCCCTCGGGGCCCCCTCGTTCCCAACCCACCCCAGACTTCTCTCGGGGACAAGGCCATGAGCTGAGTGACTCAGAAAGAACAGAGTCGGTGCCTCTCACCTGAGACCATGAGCTCCAGAGCGTCACTGGGGTGTGACAACTTGTAAGGGGAGGTGCTGAATGAGCTGTAACACCTGTAGGTCCCCCCATGTGCTGAGGTCACAGGACTCATGGAGAATTGGGCCTGGTACTGCTGAGCTTGGTACTTTGATCTAAGACGCAGGGGGGAAACCATTGTCCCCTCCTTGGACAGAAATAAAATGTCCCTCTGGCTCCGTGTCTGACACAGCAGGGTCACGTTCTCTCCTGCAGCTACTGTGGGTCCTGGCTGCACCGAGAGGGAGGGTGTGTCAGGGAGTACTCCTAGAGAGAGGAAAGGCGGGTGAGGGGCTGTATCCTCTTCTGAACTGAGAGTCCCCAAGCCTCTCTCTGAGGAAACTCATCTCTGTCTGCCTCTTTGCTCTTAGTCTCTCCCTGCCCATCCCACCTCTCTGTCTCCCTCCCTCCCTGGGAACCCACATCCCTCTTTCCAGCATCACCATGTGGGGTTCCCCTGGCAGGGTCTGTGCAGAGTCTGGGTCCCTGACTGAATCCACTGGCTCCTCACCTGCCACCAGGATGTCCAGGGGGTCGCTGGGGGTTGACCACTTGGAGGAGAACTTGTGTCCACCATAGCATCTGTACCGGCCCCCATGGGACAAGCTCACACGGCCCAGGAGGAAATCAGCTTGAGAACATCCAGTCTGGGGCCGTTCACTGAGGCGCTGGGGGAGGTTATGTCCTCCCTCCTTGGACAGAGCGAATCTGTCATAGCTGATGTCAGAGAGACACTGGAGAGTCAAGTTCTGTCCAAAGGTCATGATAGAGCCCTGCTGGCTCAGGAGGGAGGGCTTCCCAGACACACCTGAGAGAAAGACCTCATGTAGATTGTAAGGGCTGATTCCTCCCACAAATCCCCTTTTCCATCCTGGACCCCAGGTCTCACTGTCTCTCACATTCTGTGTCTCTGCTCCAGGTGACACGCCCGCTGCCCTCACCCCACCCTCTCGTCTGGGGCTCTCCTGGGAGTATAGACCCCTGTCTGTCACCTTAAAATATGGATGGGGCAAGGGTAGGACGTGCTCACCAGGAACCAGGAGCTCCACGGGATCACTGGGTTCTGAGCACTGCTGGTGGATATACCTGTAACAGCCACAGCATCTGAATGTCCAACTGTAACTTGGGGTGACAGGGCCCACAGGAAATAGGGCCTGGAACTGCCCATTGTGGCGTTGCTGTGAGTCCAAAGTCCACGAGGGCCTGTGTGCTCCTTCCTTAGTCAGAATGAACCTGTCAAATCCCTGCCATGAGATACACCGGAGGGTCACAAACCCTCCTGAGGTCACCACAGGGCTCGGCAGGGCTGAGAGGGAGGGTTTTCTGTAGATTCCTAGGAGAGGAGGAGGCAGCGTGTTAAATGGGGCTTGCAGCTCCCTCATATCCCCCAGGGCTTGGCTGTGAGAGGAAACAAACCCATGAGAACAGACCCCCTTCCTGAGCTGAGGCTGGGACCCAGAGTGTGCTCTCATCTGTCAGCACCAGCTCCAGGGCGTCACTGTGCTCTGACCAGCCAGTAGGGCTGAGATAGTAACAGCGATGTCTCCCTGCATGTCGTTCCTCCCTGTATGGGATGGAGAACCTGACCTTGGCCTTGGGCTTCAGTGGTTGTTGTCTGTCCCAGGGCACTGAGCTTCCCTCTCCATACACTAGATACTCCTTGGCCTCCAGGGTCCCCTGACCACAAATGGCCACAGGCTTCCCCCGAGAGATCACTGAGCCTGGCTCAGCCCAGATGGTGGGTTTAGGGAGGGTCCCTGGAGGGAAATAAGATGCTGGGTCACTACACATTCCCCACCATCAGTTCGCTGGCTCTCACAGGAGTCTTCTAGCCATCCCACATCTCTCAGCCCCAAACCGCTATTCTCCCTCCCCAGTTCCCGGTAGTTGTCCCTTGTCCCCAGTGAGAAGCTGGGATCTGGGACACCCGGGAACAGACTCACCTGCCTCTTCTGGGGTCCTCAGTCCCACACTCAGCCCTGGAAGAGAGTTTCCTGTTAGAGATTTACCCCTGAATCCTGAGCAAAACCTCTTCTCCCCATAAGTCTCCTGATTCCTGGGGTCTGCTGACAGATCAGGGCCTGGCTGTGAGGTGGGGTCCCTCCCAGACTAGGGCCTCCCCTCCCCCTTCTCAAATCTCACCAAGGCAGAGCAGGGCTGTGAGCGTGGCGAACATGACGTCTTCTGTAGGTTCCTCTGTCTGTGCTGGTGGAGGAGACCTGGGTACCCGGAAGAAAGGACAGTCACGGGGTTGTCATGTCAGCAGCCCTAGGAGAAGAGGAAACGCCCCTCCCCAAATGCTATGGCTGAGTTTGTACCAGGCTCTCTGGAGACATTTTGAATAGAAATAGTGTCTTCCCTGACCCCCATTTTCTGCCTGATCTGCATTCATCTCATGAAGAGACAGGTCTTTACAGCAAATAGACTCAATGTCTTCCTGAGATGCTCCTTCCAGGTAAGGGTGACCTAGGGCACGTCATTCCTTGTTGTTCCTCCCCCATGGAGTCTCCTTCATCCTCAGATTGTCCATCAGCACATTCCTGTGGGGTCCTCACCATGGACAGTGGTCATCCAGGCCCTGGAGATGCTTCAGGGAAGACGCAGTTTCCTGCTGCACTGCAGAGCTCAGATCAGCAGAGACACACGCTCAACATCTAACTGTACAGTTCAGGTCGAGGTCATTGGGAAAATGAGCACAAAGGAAACATACAGGGAAATAAGGGGAGGAAACATCACTCCTTTCCTGGCCCCAGAGTGTGGGCTTTCTTTCTATCACAGCTCAATTCATCGACTTCTTTTGTTTCTTCTGACAACTCCACACCCATCTTGCTGGAAACAAACCTCTGAGTCATTCTTGCCTCCTCAAACCCCTTGTTCCCTTCTGCAAAATCACCTCCTCGTCCTTGGGTCCTGTTTTTAGCTTCAGTGGTCAATACGTGGGTTAGCGCTATGATGTGGGGGACAAAGGTGATTTTTATAGAAATAATCCTGCAACATGCACTGGCCATGTGACCTTGACATTAATGTCCAATCTCTGAGCCTTGGTTTCCTCAACGGCATTACGTTGTCGTGAAACCCACTCATCAAATCGGTTGTGGAGTCAATGGTGCTGGGTTCATGGGAGGGATAAAACAACTCCCAGGCCAGGTTAAGACAAGAGTGAGTTGGACCATGAAGGAATCGAGGAGTAGGATGGCATAGTCAAGTGGATGATTGCCATGCCCACCCAAGAACTCCTGTCTGCTCCTAACACTGATAAAAGTAACCTCAAATATTTCTGAAATATGTAGCCACATGCATGTTCAAAAAAGATAAATAAAGTTCCCAAGATGGAGAGGGAACCACAGCAAAGAATAGAGAACAAAGGTGAGTGGCCACCGGTGCCTGGGACCATCAAGGGGTCCTAGGGAGAGAGGACCTCCAGGTCCTCACAGGAAGGGAGGGATCAGGGCTCCAGGTGAAAGTTGGAAGCTGTGGCTCCCCTCCCCTGTGTTTCTGGGCAGGCACTGGAATATGTCCCCACTGCCCCAAGCCCACGGTCAGCACCAGGCAACCTCCTCTGTGTGGCCTGAAACAGATTGAATCCAGCGTCGTCAGCCATGGGTGTCCGCCCCACATGTGAGTGTGAAGCGCCCATTGGACCATCCCTCAGTGCACAATTCTTAGCATGTGCTAAGTTCGGGAGAGTGGACACCTCAGGGCTGGAATGGCTGCAACAGTTCCCCCTTGTCAGCTTGACCCCCAGGACAGCCCTGGGAAAACCTTCTCTGGAAGATCAGGTGTGTGGGAGCAGAGCCTCCCAACAAGAATGGAGAGTCGAGGATCATCCCAATCATGATGAACATGCTATGGTCAACAAGCTACTGGTTAATGTTGATTACAGCCTGCAAGGAATAGATTCAATAGGAAAATATGAGAGTAATTTTAAGTGTATTTAGATATCTGAAAAATAAAGAGAGAAATGGATTTTTTGATGCAAAGATATGGAATATTTTTATAGAATAGGCAACTATTTTAGTGAGTTAGAAATTTTAGAGACTAAAAATCCAGTAGAACGAAGACAGCAAAAAATTTCATCACTCAAGGACAAGACACCTGAAGGCCAATTATAAAACCAGAGTACAAAAATGAGGAAATTTTCCAGAATGCAGTGCAGACAGACCTCGAAAGGAATTTAAGATTCCTGAGCAGTAGAATGAGGAGGGCCAATGTCATATCTATTGTAAGTGTCAGAGGACTGAAGGGAGAGTGACGTCTATCAAGAGCTCATGAGATGAGGGATTAACTTTTTACAGAAACGAGGAAAGACTCTGTGCCATGAGGCATACAATTAAAAATGACATCTGTCTTCTGACCCTTCATGGTAAATGGAGAAATTGAAGGGTAAATTAAAAACATATATCTTACACTGAATTGTACACTTTTAAACAGTCCATTTTATTGTATGTGAATTTCACCTCAAAAAAATTGAGGAGAACTTGCCTGGGACCCTATAAAATGTCCTAAAATTACTTCCTAGAGAAAATGCAAATAACCATCCGTAGAATGACAAGCTCTTGGGACCAGACTTCCCCATCGAAAAATAGACGCCAGAAGAGATTGGAGAAATACTTTCCAGGAATTAGGAGTCTGTGAAGAATTGTACATGGAGCCAAATTATTTTTAAGGGACAAAGAAGAAAGGGTGAGCAGGGGCAAGTCCCCAAACAGGAGGAGACTCTGACCTGAATCTCACAGGTTAAACCCCCACGTGGGGCCATGTTTTCCTGAGACATAAGGAGTTTGGGGGGGGGGGGCGGGGATGGGTCCTTGACCATCAAATGGATTTTCCTCTCCTGGTAGTTGAATCCTACACTTTATTTGAAATAAGAAAATGTTTTCAACTAACTTGAAAAAGAGAACAAGAGTGGAAGAAGGCATTTCCAGATCTTCAAGTTCCTAGATAATTTCCTATTTTCCCACTCAGTGAAAGGCATACTAAGTAATGTGATTCAGTTAGGAGAACAAAGAACCCACAATGGAGAAAGAGAGATGCAACGGGTGAGGGCAAAAATGACAAAAAGAAGAAAAATTATACAAACACACACATGCACCTAGACACACAGATGTGCACATACACACATATATCTATATCTATGAGTACTCAGAGTTTACGTAAAGTGCAGTTAGAACTGGGGTCGGCCCTGTGGTTGAGTGGTTAAGTTCACACACTTCGCTGCAGGCGGCCCAGTGTTTCATCGGTTCGAATCCTGGGTGTGGACATGGCACTGCTCATCAAACCACGCTGAGGCAGCATCCCACATGCCACAACTAGAAGGACCCACAACGAAGAATATACAACCATGTACAGTGGTACTTTGGGGAGAAAAAGGAAAAAATGTAAAAAGTGCAGTTAGTTAGAAACTTATCTTCTGTTAGGGAAGATGGTAATAAGAAATTGCTCAGAAATAACATTGTAAAAACATATATTAATAATGAGAATAAATACTTAAAATTAGAAAGGGAAGAACTTCCAATATCCTTGGTGTAATTACATGAAACAATTTTTTCAACTTTATTAAGGTATAATTGACAAATAAAAATCATTTATTTTTAGCATGTACAATGTGATGTTTTGAGATAAGTATACATTGTGAAATAATCAAGCTAGTTACCACATCCATCATCTTATGGGGCTACCATTATTTTGCATGTGTGGTGACAACAATTAAGATCTACCCTTTAAGCAAATTTCAATGACAAAATAGAGTCTTGCTAACTGTAGTCACATGGCTGTACTTTAGATCCCCAGAACTCATTCATCTGCAAAAGTGAAACTTGCATCTCTCCATATCCCCCTTTTTCCCAGCCCCTGGCAACCACCATTCTACTGTTTCTATAGGTTTGACTATTTTAGACTACACTTGTAAGTGAAAGTATGTTTTATTTGTCTTTGTCTTGCTTACTGCACTTGGCATAATGTCCTCCAGGTTGATTCATCTTGTCACACATGGCAGAATTTCTTTCTTTTTAAAGGATGAATAGCATTCCATTGTAAATATCCACCACATCTTCTTTATCCATTCAACCATAGATGGGCATTTAGGTTGTTTCATGTATTGGCTATTGTGCATAATGCTGCAATGAACTTAGGAGGGCAGATATCTCTCTGAGATCACAATTTCATTAAATAGGAAATATATCCAGAAGTACGATTTCCGGATCATGCAGTACTTCTATTTTCAATTAATTTATTTTTATTGTAGTTTTACATTGGTTTATAACATTATATAAATTTCAGGTGTACATCATCGTATTTCGATTTCTGTGTGGATTACATCATGTTCACCACCCAAAGACTAATTACAATCCATCACAATACACATGTGACTAATCACGCCTCTCTCCCTCCTCCCTCCTCCCTTCCCCTCTGGTAACCACCAATCCAATCTCTGTCTCTATGTGATTGTTTGTTGATTTCTTTGTCTTCTACTTATGTGTGAGATCATACGGTATTTGACATTCTCCCTCTGGCTTATTTCACTTAGCATAATACCCCCACGGTCCATCCATGTTGTCACAAGTAGCCAGATTTCATCATTTCTGAGGGCAGAGTAGTATTCCATTGTGTATATACACTGCATCTTCTTTATCCATTTGTCCCTTGATGGGCACCTAGGTTGCTTCCAAGTCTTGGTTATTGTGAATAATGCTGCGATGAACATAGGGGTGCACGTATCTTTTTGCATTCATGTTTTCATGTTCTTTGGATTAATATCTAGCATCGGAATAGCAGGATCATATGGTAGTTCTATTCTTAATTTTTTGAGGAATCTCCATACTGTTTTCCGTAGTGGCTGCACCAGTGTGCACTCACATCGGTGGTGTTATGAGAGTTCTCTTCTCTCTACATCCTCTCCAACACTGGTTTCCAGTCTTGTTAATTATAGCCATTCTGATGGGAGTGAGGTAATATCTCATTGTAGTTTTGATTTGCATTTCCCTTAAATATGTTGAACAACTTTTCATGTGCCTGCTGGCCATCAGTATATCTTCTTTGTAGAAATGTATGTTCAGATCTTTTACCCATCTTTTTTAATTGGCTTCTTAGTTTTTTTGCTGTTGAGATGTATGAATTATTTGTATATTATGGATATTAACCACTTATCAGATATGTGGTTTGCAAATATCTTCTCATAAGCATTTGGTTGTCTTTT